CCCCCCCATTTGGATTGTTAACCAATCCTAAGAAAGAAAAGATCAATCTCATTTCTTCATCACCACTGAGCAGGGAGATGCTAACCAGTCAGAATCTGCCACTAACAGTCATTAGAAAAGCTGGCGAATCAGGCCAACCTTGTTACATGGTCTGGCAGAAAAAGACAGGAATTGATTGGAAAGGATAGTTCTGGTTCCACACCCTTTCCTTCCTGGATAGTTTTTCCCCTCATTGAAGTGAAGGCAGGACCCTTTCCCAGGCCGTTAGTAAAGAAGATCCCTAGCCTTTTGCTAATGTTCTCTTGGATCATCTTCTTTTTGTCTTCAAATTCACCCCTCTCACGTACCTCTGTCCACTTTTTGTAGTCTCAATGTTCCCTAACTGATTTAATTTCTGGCTTCAGACCTAGTAATAATAACCCCCAGGATTCTAAGCCCTCCCCACAGATCTCCAATCACCAACCATGTCAAACAACTTGTTTTGAATGATTCATGTAGGTGAAAAAGTTTATTTAAGCGATAGTTGAGCATTTTCATCCATGATTGAAAGGACCTTGTAGTAACGTCTCTGAGGAGCGGTGCAGAATTGAATTGCAATGCTAATAATAACGTTACTATTACTAGCATTTGTTAAACTCCTAGTTCCAAGCACCCTGTTAAAAGCTTCACGTTTATTATCCCAATGTTCGCTGTGGGGTAAGCCCTATTATTATTCCCAATTTACATAGGAGGCAATCCATCTAGAGGGGTTAAACAGCTTCCCCAAGGTCACACCGCGATTTGGGAAACCAGGTTTGTCTGAATGCGGAGCCCAGTGATTGGGAGTCAGGGCGAATTAAACACGGCAAAGCTGTAACAACTCCTGAGAGGAGCCAGCTTTAGCTCCTCAGAGCCCTTTCTCCAAACCTTTGGGATTGTTAGTGATACCTGAGAGGGGTCTATATTGTTGCAACAGCTGCAAAAACCGTCTGGCGGTAGCGGCCCTACGAACTGTAAACTTTTTGCCTGGAAGGAACGGAGGCTGAGAGCTGAAAGGAGTTCCGCACGGGCGGAGCGGGGTGACCGGGGCTCAGGGGACGTCCTCGCTAGTCTGCCTTCCCTTGCTCCTCGCAGCGTCTGACACGGTTCCCGGCGCTGCTTGGAACTTGGTAAATACCTGTTGATTGATTCGCAAGGCTCCCGGCTTCATTTCTCACTAACCCTCCTTCCCCAAGACAACCACTGTCGCTGGAGGGAGATTTGGGACTTTCCGGGGAACTAGTGAGAATCCCCGTCGAGCTGAAATCGTGGATTTAGGAAGGGTGGGAAGTTCCCCCCCTTCTCCTTTCGCCCGCGTCTCGGATTTCTCTCCACTCCTTCCCCTCCCTTTTAGGAGCTCAGGGCCATAAAAATGCAGATGGAGGATCCGTGTGAAATAACGGGCCCATATAAATCCCTCTGCCGCCCGCCTGCAAGATGGATTGGCCGCATTGAAATTCCTCCGCGAGGATAATTAAACTCGGGGCCTCATCCGGGCAAAATTACATTCCTGTAATGGCGTCGCTCGGGGTCCCGGGAAATTGCTCCGTGGGCTTTCAGCGGCGGTTTTTATCGCCGGCCGGGGTGTGCCTGGCTGCGGCTCGCCTCTCCTCCGGGACCGTAAAGCTGCTGCCGTGATTTATCCTCCCCTTCTCCCAAATCCGATTAAATGGAGGAGCTCGGGGCCGGGGCGCCGCGGGGCCCGGGAACCGGGAGGGGGCGGCGGGAAGGACGAGGCCAAGGAGGGGAGGACAAACGGCCCCTCAGAGGCCGGCGGATTTGGCTTTATTTACAGCCGCGGCTTTCTTTTTATTTTTTATTTTTTTATGGGGGTTTGGTGAGCTTTCCTCGTCTTTCTCACGCTGCGCGCAAGCACTGTGCGTGGACGGCAGGGGTTTGGACCTGAGGGGACTGGGTAGGCCCTGGCACCCTCCTCTTCCAAAGGGGCTGCTCAGACCCTGTCTGGGAGACAGGCCTAGAAGAGGCACTGGGGGCGGGAAGTCCCGCACTTCCTCATGGGGAAAGGACAGGACAGGGAAAAGATGAGGGGTTTTCTTGGGAGCACCTCATTGGGGGGTCTGCTTATCTCAGCTAGAGTAGGTGAAGCCTGGGCAGAGGCAGGGGCATGCCTGGGGTGACTTCGCAACCGCACTGCAGGTCGCTGGTACCCCTTAGCCCTTGACTGTCTCAAGACTTAGGGTCAGGGTGCTTGAGTCCCAGTCATCTTTAGCCCCTATCTTCTGGTTCGCTGATGCTCGCTTCCTCATGGCTGATCACTGGAATTAAGAAAGAGAGAGGGAAATAAAGGCAAAGCCACCAGTGGCAGCTGGGGTATTTTGCCGATTATTTCCCCATTGAACAGGTTTCCCACCCATAAGGCCAGGGTTCCAGGGGCAACAGAACGCAAGAATCCCATGTCCTCATTCTCCTCCCGCTACATTTTGGGCACTAAACCCCACCCCGATTGTATGCTATTTAACATTGAGTTTCTGGGTGATTTCTTTTTTCAATGTGACTGCGCGTGCTCGGGAAGGGGACGCGAGTCCGAGATCCCAAATGCTGTGCAGACCATACTGTAGACCACTTCATGGGTCGGCTTACACTGCGGAGTCGTCTTCATTTTTGCAGTCGGCTCCGCCTGCAGTTTCTCCTCTCCAACGCCAGGTGGAGCGGCTGGCCGGATGCCGCCACAGAGGTGGCAGGCGGCGCTGTGGAGCCCGGGCCGCCTCAACATTGCAACCACTCTATCCTTGGCGGAGCGACTCGTTGGTCTGGGCCGCGCTTGCGCCTAGCCTTCCTTTCGCTATTCCTCCC